TGAGCGCATGCGCTAAAATAGCCCCTCCCTGAAAATATTGCAACACAGCAGCAGCCATGAGGTGACCACGCTCGCCGCCTCCTGCACCTCAAAATTAATAAGAACTCCCCCAAAATATGGCCACGCGTTTATTCCAGGGGGGGGGGTGTCAAAAGAAAATAAGACCCTGTCTTATTTTCAAGAAAACTTGGTATATACCTTTATTAGAGTCTGCAAGACCGGATGCTATGAAACCACTTACATGAATCCTTATGAAGGATTCTGCAAAACTGGTTGCACAATCAATAATAACATTTTGGTCGTAATAAATATACTAGCTTAATCAAATGAGACCACAGTTTGTAAATTACTTTGTTTTGTTTCTCTTTAATCATAGTTAATAAGCTCTCAATGACTTTGGAGGGGAAACGTAGGACACTATCATGCACAGTGATGTTTATCTCTGTTTATAGCTAAAAACAGATTAATTCTGCCTGGTTACATACTGACAGGTTCAATACTGAGTCAAATTGTATGCATTCTGTGTTTTTTTAAAAATCAGTAAAATTAGCTGCATTACAAATTGAGGTTAAAATTACTCTGAATTGATGCAGTCATTTAAGGAAGGTAAAATGACTGAACAAATACACTAATCCTTTACGAAACATGAGATGTTTCTTTTCAAGCTCATATTTCACACAAATGTGTTTTATTCGACAGAAAACCTATCAGAAACAGAACTACAGCTCTCGCTTTCAAGCAAGAAAAATGAAGTCATTTCATTTTGAAGAACTGCTTGCTTTTTTTCTGTTAAACATCAGGAAGAAAAGCATTCTTCAAGCACACACATTAATACAGCTAGCTGGATTTCATCTTCAGAATAAGAAAATAAATGCCTCAAATATTGTTAAAACAGTGTTCAAAATCACTAGTATTATAAAAGGCTAATGTGCATATTGCTTAGTCGTTGGGTTTTCTCATCAGTTGGTTTCAAAGTATCTTGGGTTTGACATTCTAATGCTCTTTCAAATATTTTATCACTAAAATACATATTGCAAGAAAAGTTAAAACAGTTTTTCTTCTACAATTTGTCCATAAAGTGTAAAAGGTAATCAATACCACTAAGTAAATGGTAAATGTTCCCCTTGCACATATGTGCTAGTTGTTCCAGATTCTAGGGGGCGGTGTTCATCTCAGTTTCAAAGCCGAAGAGCCAGCGCTGTCCAAAGACGACTCCGTGGTTATTATGTGGACAGCATGACTCAACGCCGAAGGCACATGGAACACTGTTACCTTCCCACCAAAGGTGGTCCCTATTTTTCTACTTGCATTTTTGCATGCTTTAAAACTGC